AAACGAGAAAGCTGTAAACAGAGAGGAATGCGATTGGCATTCCTGAATCATAGGGCAAAAAAAAAGAAAAAAAAAAAAGACATTATATAATTTTTATAATTGGAACTATATATTTACAGCAGGAAATTTTCTAATAGTTGTAAAGTGTAATGAACAACTTAGTGGTTATTTTGATATCGTCGAATAAGAGAGCAGATGAAATTTAAGTAGTCCTTTACACAGTTAAAATTAACTGTGAACTCTTCCACCTGACAGTATCGGTGATTTTTTCTAAATTACGAAATTTTTAAAGATTGTTGGATCATTTGTCTTTTCTGAGGCTTTCTAGAGGTCTTTTTTTAAGCATATTCGTCCTCAGCGTTTTAGACGGCACTTTTAAATTTGCTTTTTCATTTTTTCTCAAAATCATTTGTTTTGCTTCAAATTTTCCGGATGTAATTATTCTCGGTAGTAGCCAAACGATGCAACTTGCGTTTAGTAATTGAGCGCCTCCATGAAATTTCAAGTCTTTTTTTGCAGTTTTATGTTGGGGAATTTTAAATTTACGTTTGAAAACGGAATCAGCTAATACCATGGAGTGTTTGCAGATTTAGCAGGCAAGCGCAGATGGATGTGTTAATTGAGCGTCAATAACTTGTCTATTTCCCTCTCAATTCGTTTACTGAACAGGATTTTCCTGTTCGGTTCCAGCGCTCTCGCTCATTTCGGGCCAATTTGTTGAGTCGGTAGTGAAGTGAATTGAAATCACTTATTCCACAAAACTGTGCGCACTTCAATAATAGGAATTAATTGGTTAGAGGATAACTTACTCTCCCTCCAATTTAATTTTTTCCATTTCGTCGATACACATGTGAACTAAAAATTATCAGAAATTTTGATTTGCATTCGTTGAAATCGGAGACCCACTGACCTAACCCTAACAGATCTTTTACTCTGAGTAAACTGAAGGGTCCTGGCCTTGGAGTGGTAGACCATTCAGTGGACTTTAGCAAAAAACAGTGATATCATTTAACTTATGTAGCAAGTTGTCCATAAAGTATTTGCCAGTACTTGGCATTTGTGCATTATAAGTTAGAGCAAACCCTACCTATCTTAAACGTTTTTTAGTAGGTATCACAAATAGGTGCGTTATTTCACCTGACCAGATCATTTGCTGACGATATTTTTGAAACAGTTCAATAAAAGAATGCGAAGAATGGCATAATTCTAATACAGTAAAAAACAATTTTAACTGAGTTAAAAAAACAATTCAAGAATGAATTAGGAACTGAAATTACTTTAATGATGAAGTGATTTCAGCTCCTATTACTCTTCCAGCCACCTTTCACCGGCTTCCGAAATAGCTGACTTCTAAATTCTTCAGCTGTTCTACGTCATAAAAATTTCTGCAAATTATACTAGAAATTCCTCTTAATTTTTTTTCCAATCATTCTACATATGTGTGCACTATGAAAATACCGAGTGCACTAAAACGAATATCTGAGCAAACTTGATAATTCAAATAAAAGCACAACAAGCAAAGGTAGTTGTAATTTTAAGAATTCTGCAAATTTTGATACCCCAAAAGTAATTTGTATGAGAGTCTGCAAAGGTTTTTGCGTTTTCTTTGAAAAAAGCATTTTAAATTTCTGATTAGCTCCAGAAATCTTTCAGTTCGTGGAAAAATTCTGTAAGAGTATTTTTGAGCCGCATTTTTTGTGCAAATTTCTACTGAAATAATGCAATTTTATCTACCTAGCACCTAATCCAGTCAACTCCGAATCCAATATTTGGAGTAGCTGCTCCCAACTAAGTAGGTACTGGTGGTGCGCCGATGCAAATATAATGCAAACTTACTCCGGTAAGGGAGCGTCAAGTACCCTCAACTTTTGCCTCACTCATGCGGCCCATTTAGCAGCAGCAGCAGCAGCGACTGGAGCAGCAGTGTAGGAAGACAGAAAATTATTTGCACATAAGAAGACAAACAAATAGGTGAATGGAGCAACAAATGCGTGGACAGATAACCAACAAAGCGACATAATTTAGTCGATGTTGTTGGGTTACCGAAATTAGTATCATCAAACTTGGAAACTACAACCGAAACAGCAGCAGCTCATAGCAGCAGCCGTAATAATAAAAAGAACGATAACAGCAACAACATCGGCGACAATAACAACGATGAGCATGACAGCGCCTCGAATATGGATTTTCAAGTTGAACGCAACAATTCAATGGTGCGGAGCACTCACTGTTCGGCGCTGATTGAGGTTGCTCAGGAGTTCAATTCATTCCAATTTGTGCCCATTCATTCCTTTCCTATTATAAATACTTTGGCCACTCCAGCTCCAAACGTTTGCTCATATATCGTTGACTCACTGAAATTGTATTTTTAATGGAATCGTTTGAAGCGCTAAGATACGCCAATAAAGTTTTTCAAGATTCCGCTTCCCGAACCAAACTCCCTTCCTATACACGTCAGAGATAGGGCTCTTTCATAATCAGTTCCTCTGAGAAGCGGAAGTACACGGGACCAGTCTGGTTGATAATACGCCGGCAAAAACACCTTCCAGTCTTTTTCCTCCGTTACGACCTCCAAGACCAAGCCACCAGCTGAATGTCGATCGGCCGAGCCGAGCCAAGTCGGTTCTTAGTAGCTGTCAGCGCGTAATGCTGCTGAAGTTTCAAACTTCATTCCCAAGTCAAGTGTACCAAGTGGGCGTTATGTTTTGAATCTGAATTTATTCAAAACCATTCCCTCATCTGGATATCTAGCGTCCCGGATGACTGTTCCTTGCAGATGACGAAGTAAAGCAAAATGAAGTGTGCTGCCGGGCAAGCAATTCACTGCTAACAAGCTGCAATTATGCAATTATGCGGAAGAGACTACTTGTCCCTCTGGTCACTCAGCCGGGCCAGTGATTTGCGTCACTGACTGACTTTTCATGATGAAATCAAATTCTAGTTACCAACTGTTTCCTTCCTTGTCTGCAGACTTAGTGTTTCAAACGTGTATCATCTGTTGGTTTGCTTTAAACAGCGCTTTTTTATGTGTTTTCTGCTGCAACAGCAGTGCAAAACGCATGTTGTCGAGATTGTATGTGTTTGCCCATACTTTTGTCTTAGGATCCACAAAAGTTAGGAAGGTGAAATTAGGATATTTCTTACCTACGTGAGGCCCCGCTGATTCAATCTTTGCTTTCAAGTACGCCCAGGTTTCTCCAAAGAACAGGCGAAATATCTTTTTTGCTTGCTGAAATCACTCTACGTCGTTGCAGTGATTCACTTGTTCTAGCAATGTCTACTTACGTTTGGAAGGAATGCAGTTTTCGCCAATCCAGAATTAGTGAGCAATAATTTTGCAGGAATGATAATTTACATATTGTCAGTGGTACTATCATCTATAACAGTAGTCAGTGGAATACAATGTTATTCAGGAAGTCAGCTGCAGGTTATAGAATGCCCAAGCATGAACTGTATTAAACAGTCACTTGGATTTGACACAGTATGTCCTTTTAGTTCACTCAGTAATCTAACAGCCAGGTGATTTTGGAATAATTAATAAAATTCGTTTATGCGTGCATGCGAACTTACATCTTTTAAGCGGAATTTGAAAACTTCAACCGCACGGCTCTGAAAAATATTTGTTACCGCAAGCAAAAAAGATTTTATTATTAAAAGAAGTAGAAAGCGATGAATGAATTAGTAGGACCACTAATTAAGCTTTTAGCGGTAGTACAGCAAAATGTTAATTTTACATAAAAACTTTAGCTACACGACTAGAAAGGAATGTTTCGGTCCATGAAGTCGTACACACTAAAGCCGCATAAAATACTGTTTTTGAACATGACTTTATCTAATGTTTCAAATCAGACTGATTTTCGCCAGAGCATTTAGCCGATTTAGCTGCTACTGTAGAAGTTGTTTCATATCACAGTTACTAGTGACCCTGCCACTACTTCACTTTGCTCTGTCTCGCTCTTCCAGAAAACTCCGAATTGTGTCCAGTCACCTATTTTCTTGATATTTCAGTTCTCTTGCAAGCAAATATTCATACAATAAAGCTTATTAAAATTTATGCAACACTTAATCGTATTATGATTTCAAAACTGGGTGTAACATAATAATGAAGTGGTTGCTGTTATTGTAGTATGGGTGAGTGCATTTCTGAGGAATATGAGAAAATGTCTGTAAATCATCATAATGAAAAAAACAACAACGAAACAAATTCAAGCAAAAACTGCTGTCTTGCAGGCACATGTGTACATATGAAAATGCCTCAACAATTTCCAGGTCTGAAATGCACCTGAAACTCGAAGCACAGGAATCACAATAAGTGGCAATACCATACTATGAAGCATCATTATCTTGGCATGAATGATAACAAAACAAATGCTATTTTCTGAACGATACAGAATCCCCTATTTTTGAATTTCAAAATTAAAAGTGATAAATGTTTCTGAAGCGAGCTTTTGTTTCAGGTAAGATACTGCGATGGAACAGGCGTATCATCAATTTGCCAAACATACCGCATATTCGAGGCTTGTCAAACAATCCCAAATCTTGGACAGATATGTTGCTGTGCAGATAACCTGTGTAACTCTTCTCAACGTGTCTTCAGTTCCAAATTTTCATTTAGTGCTTTACCACTGCTTTATTTGTTAAGGATAGCATTATTGTAAGCACAAATTTGGCATGTAATGGATACGTATAAGCGTGTTTTTTGCTCCAATTTTGCTCCATTTGTTGTCGAGATTTAAAAAAAGAATTTTTTTTTCAAAAATGGCACTGCCGCAACAGTTAATCAGTTTGAAACTTCATTCAGAATCACCTGGAGATAAGAATCGCCTCAATAAAATACAATTTAAAGTTCATCATCTAATCCAAAAAATGCATTTTTGTATGTATGTAAATGTAACTTGACCGCTGAGAGGTCATCTGTATGCGTGTGTTCGGAAGCGAATGATCTTTGTTATTCACTTTCATCTCAGCGATCAGGAAAGCTGGGAGGCTGGAATTTTGGGTATGTGTTCCTACTCCGTATGTCACCCTCCCGTTTTAAGATCTTTCCCCACACGTGCCTAGAACTTGCGTACTGACTTCCAAAAAAAGTATGCAAATTTTTTTGGCGGAAAACGATTTTGCTAACCAGGCAAGTTACAAAGCTAAAACTTCGCAGGGGTATTTTCGGTGCATGTGCGAGCTAAAGTTTTCAAATTCAGCAGTTGCGCACGCTTGTGCAGCGTGTAAAACTACGTCAAAGTTTGCGACTTGGTACTGTGCTAACTCGAAAACTTGCTAGAAAATAGTTGCTGAAATTTTGTCAGCATGCTTGTCGCTTGTGTGGAACACCATATAGCTAAAATAAGTGCCAAACACGCAATTGCGCCACGACTTAGGGCACTTCAAAGATATTTGTAGCGAAGTGACTCTTTCGCTTATCGGATAAGTTGCAAGCTGGTACTTCGGTGCGATATTTTACTTTCATGCATGATCTTAATTCTGTTTGGAAGCGAAATTCCTTGCAGGTGAGCGTGAGAAACACTCAACTTTACCGAAAATCAGAAACGAGTGCATTTTGTAGTGAACGACCGCCCTCATCCTCTCCCAACATGTAAATAAACTCATTTGCACACTTAGATTTTTATGCTTTCTTGCCTATATGGAAAATGCAAAAACGCATATTGCGACGACCCTGTTTGTGTGTGTGTGTGTGTCTCTCCGGGTATTTCAACTCAACACCCAAACAAGCTCCGGCGTCAAAATTTTACCAGTGGGTTCCCCGGCTAAGTGCTACCCTAGGACCTCGGTACCAATCTTCATGCAGTCCCGGGCCCCCCGTGCGAGAAAGTAAAAGTCTCGACGAGAAAATTGCTAACTCGGGAGCAAGGAAAGCCAGGGAGCTGAAATTTTAAGGGAATGTTCTCGGCTTGTGTACAAATTAAATTAAACAAATTCAGCCCCCAGGCATGCGTGGTTCGCACGTACGGCCCGTGGACTTTTTCGGCGGGAAAATGGCTAATTCAACAACCAAGAAAGCTAGAAGGCCAGAAACTTAAGGGGATGTTTCCCGCCCATGTACAAATTAAAGCTGTCAAATTCATCCCCCAAGCTTGCGTCATTCTCACGCACGGCCCCGTGAAATCTCTTTGAGGGATAACGGCTAACTCGCGAACCAGAAAAGCTGGAACGCTGAAATTTTAAAGGTATGTCCCCAGCCTACGTACAACTTAAAGATTTCAAACCCAGTCTCCAGGTATGCCCCCATTTCACGTGCGACTCTGTGAAAGTTTTGGCGGGAAAAATGCTAACTCGGGAGCCAGAAAAGCTGGAAAGCTGAGATTTTGGAAGAATATTCTCCGTCAAAATACAAATTAAAAGATTCAAATTCAGTCTTCATGTACTTGTGGTCCTTATGTACGAGCATTTAAATTTTTGACGGGAGAATTACTCATTGAGACATTATGGGTCATTTTCAAAATAACTCAATGAGTAGTTTTTTCAAAAATGGGTCATTTTCAAAAAACGACCGCTAAATGGAAATTGTTTGGTTCTGTTTGCGCAAAATCCACAATAATTTGCGTTATTGAGCGCACAAAGCAGGTGTGAAGAAACAACCATTCATGCAGTTAATGTAATTACTTCAAGTTTGGTGCAAAAACGTATGATCGCACTGGCTCGCC